CATAGGGAAATGCAAGGAGACAAATATCCCTGGGACAAAGTGAGAACAAAAGACCCCGTTTGTACTTACTTCCCCCTGGCTTTGCCATTGGTTACCTAGGTGAAGGTTACATGTAGTGCCACTGCCCCTCCATGCCCATATTCATGCCCATTCCACTCATAGGTCCTAGAGGGAGAGAAAAAAATCCAAGAAGATGCCAGAGAATGAGCAAAAGTCAACGGATAGTGCCAAAAGCCCCTTCTCCAAAAACGCAGCAGGGCGGAGGAGCCAGAAGATGCCCTGGCCCCACTTTGGGCAGCGTGGAAGGCAGAAGAAGACAGGCGAGGGCAAGGCAGGCAGCGGAGACGAGGACGGAGGAGGGAGGGGGGGTACCTGTGGTGGTGCCACCGATGGGGGGGGACCCGGCCGGGGGGGGCTTACCTGGCGCTCGGATGCCCATGTGCTGCTGGCCGTCCATCACAAAACCTCCCATGGGCTGCCCGTCGGGGTTATAGGGTGTTCCTTGACTTACTGGAAAAGTGTAGAACGTCGCTTTTTAAGCCCCAGCTGAAAAGGGTCCCCTTTTTCTTCTCACGGTGCCAAGACTCAACCCCCCTGCCCGCCCACCCAGCCACCCACCCAGCTCTATGCCAGCTCTAAAAAGAGGGAAAACCATCTACTGTTCAAATTCGAGGCTAACTCGGGCTAACGAGTCCTTGCCTAGTGGTGGCTTGGTTTCCTACTGAGAGTTTGGGAACGGAGTGAGGGATCTGAAATCTGGAGACAAGGAGGAGCCCCCGGCTCCAGCTGCTGCCGCTGCTGACGTCAACGCGGAGACCTGGGCAGGAGCTGGATTTTATGGCTGGAATAGTCACACTGAAATCACCAAGTGTGTTAAATTACACCCGTGTGCCTTTCTAAGAGGAGGACCTGAACACATCCTGGCCAGATATTCACTTCTAATGGCAAAATCATGGAATGTACTGGAAGAGGAAGCATGGCTTCCAAAGGCATCTTGGCCAACGGCAGATTCAGAGAGTTGGGCAGCAAGATTTGGGAAACAAAACCATCTGAGGGTAACGGGCTCTTCCTCGATGGTAAATATCTCCACAGCTGCGAGCCCAGACCCCAGAAAACTTAAGATTTGAAAAAAAAAAAAATATATAAAAACATCCCTCCCCAGCAAAACTCAGCGAACCCAAAGGACAGCTATGACAAAGAAGATACGAGGGACAAAAGGACCCTCTACAAGTCCCACTACCTGAACTCAAGGTTTGAAGTGTACATTAAAAGCTGGCTTCAAGAAGTAAGCTGCCTTGGGTTATTAAAGCACATAAAGCTCTACCTCATTGAATGTCTTTGAACTTTACTGAGTCCCACAAGCGATGCTGACCCCGTTGCCCTTTTGACAGGTAATAAAGTTTACAGCAATTCCACACCAAGCCATGCACCAGGGAGTGGTCACAGAAGCAGAAAGAGCTGGGAAGGAAAACTCAAAACAACTACTTAAAAAAAACAATAATTCCGAATGTGAACGGAAAGTCCGGTTGTGGAGCGGATCGTTTTAGTTTCTTGGGTTTTTTTATTTTATTCTTCAATGTCTTTTTATTTTGCCCCAAATATTTTCATCGTGTTAAAATGATTGGGGTTGTAATGAAACAAAGCTGGTTGTATTTTAATTGTCAATCACTCCCAGCATCCATTTCTCATTTATTTACCAGGTAATGGACCTCCCGGTGAATGGCTTGAGGATGGTTTTTGCCTGCGTGACTGGAATACGGTTACTACTGGGGACTTGCCTGCTCGATTGGACTGGTCTATCATGGGCTGCACTATTCTTCTTCTAGCGTTAATAAACCTGCAAGGAAAAAAAAAAATAATATATATATATATAAAATAAAACAAGAGGGAAGCAAAAGGTTATGGAAGGGGGATGACTCCCAGCCATCCCCGAGCCCCGCCGTGGTGCGTCTCCGTAGGGCGGCGCAGGGATGCAAATCCTGCAAAACCTCTCACCCCAGTGACCTCCCCAGAGCACGAGCTTGGGGTTTCCCAGCTGATTTATGTCCGCCTGCTTCTTTTTTTTTTTCTTTTTTTTCTCCCCTGCCACAGTCGGGCACTTCCATTTCATCTTTTCATGGGGGAATTAGCCGAGTTTTCAGGAAACAATACCGGCAACGCTCTTCTCAATTCAGAACGGGGCGCGCACGCACAAAAAAACCCAAAGGGGTGAAGCCAGCGAGATGCTCGTGAGGGCATCTGCTGCCTCCCCCTCATTAGCACCATTTCTGCCTTATGTCCTCCCACTTCTTTTCTCGAATTTCTTTTTTTCTTTCTTTTTCTTTTTTTTTTATCAAAACCTGCCCCTACCTCTTGCAAACCTAATTCCCTTTTAATGCCCACTATTAAGATAATGAACTGTGATGGCAGAACCCCATCAAATGAGGGAACGTCTGGAGTTTTATCGCCGCCAAGTCACACTGCTGGGGACTTCAGAGCCCTGCATTCCTCCTAGCCATTTCTTGGTGGGCTTTCCCCCCTCCCCTCCTCTTCTCTCTTTATGCAAAGTCTGAGGGGTCAAGGCGAGGTCATAGCTTTACAGTAATTGAATTTATAATCCTGTTTTCTCCAGCTAGGCCTGACCATTTACAGCAAACATCTTGTTAAACTGTAATTACTGGACTACTGAAAATTCCCCCCGAACAATGAAAAGCAGATCTTTGGCAATAAAAAAAAAAAAGAAAAAAGAGGTACGGTCCTTTTTAAAAATAGCCATCTGCAACTCTACTCCTTGCGTTGTTGTAGCTCTTTGCCTCAGTTAAGTATTGCAACAATCACTTGGGAAAGGAATATTGAGAATAATTTGGAGTAAAACAGAAGGAGCAGAGCGCCCCGGTCTCTTCTGTGGGCAGTCCTTGTGCGTGCTGAAACCAGGAGCCTCCAAACCATTGGCTGGGAACCCCTCTGAAGAACACTAGAAGAACTTCTCTTGCAGCTTCGCTCATCAGAAATCTTAGTTAAAAGACACTTGGAAGATTTCTCTACCAAGACCCAATCATGGCAAAGCCTCATAACTGGACTTTAAATTCTTTAAGAGAGAGAAAAATAATAATAAAACTGTGTATGCCTTGGTATCTACTGGCAAAGAAAGCAGCGTAAGCTTGTTTGAAACCACACCAAGCTCGTGAAATGCAACAGGAAAGTCCACAAAAGACTGCTTGGTGCTTCTTGTTGTTGTTGTTGCCTGTGCTTGGTTGGGGTGGCTTAGCAGGAGCTCTCCTAGGAAAGAGAGGACCACCAGGACCTTCGCGCGGGAACCAGCTCTGCCCACCCCGTCCCCCGCGTTGGTGAGGAGGGGAATCTCAAACCACTGCCCCGTGTTGTTTGTTTTGCCCTCATCAAAGAATTTTTGTGATTTCGGTCTTCTCCTCTCTCTCATTCCCGACTGACTCCTCTTCCCTGAACTCCCACAAAAATTAATCAGGAGGCTGAGTCCTCAGCAATCCTGTCTCAACAAAACGGGCTCAAAGGCACCAATTCTGGGTGCAGATCTGGAAACCTTATGCCTGAACTAGGTCATGTTTTGCCAGCAACAGTGTTGGATCAATTTTTGTACACATTTCCGATAAAAAAAACCTCCCGCATCAACTCCAGCAAACAGTGTTGCAAATCAGTTTATCATTATCTTGTACAAACCATGAAAATTAGAATCATGTGAGCAGAAGGTTAGACTAATTCTCCTTTCTCATTATAAGCACAGGTGTAGCACAAACACCATGTGAAATAAGCAATTAAAAAAAATCTGCTTTTTTTCTCCCATTAGCTGCCTTAGCTCCATGACCAATTAGGAAATTGTTTAATATCTGTAATCTGCATTTGCAGAAAGCAATTTTCACAGTCACTCTCCGAAGTGAAACACCACCGCGAAACCCCAGTGCCCCAGCCTTTTCCTTCTGCGGGGCTCTTGCTGCCTTGACTCCATCCTTCCCCACCCCAAAATTGCCAGGCAGGGTGTTTTGGTAGCCGTGAGGCTGGCTTGTCTCCCAAACCTTCACTTGCCAAAAGCTTTTACCCCAAAGAAACCCTGAGCCACGTTAAGCACGCACGCTCCCATCTCTTCTCTAAACGACAAGCGCTTCTAATAAGAAGGGGGGGGGCTCGATAATTAACTAGAGAGCTGGAATTTACCAATAATTATCCACAAGACGTGCCTGCAGTAAAACACACTCTCACCTGTTTGCCCCACGCTATCGCTCAGGGTATCTGCTTTAAGACCATTTTACACACAGGTACTTAACAGTTATCTTCTTCCTACGCCTTCCTAGAAGTATTTTCTATAAGTAGCAATTCTGCCAAACAGCCCGGTGTTTGGATGTCTTTGGGGGGGAATTCAGACGCAAGAACATTTTCCTTCTGGGCAAAGCAATAAAATGACATTCTCGCTCCTCCCACCAGAAGTCAAACGGAGGTCAGCTCCCCATCCTTGTATCTGTTTAAATAAACTGGTCCAGCTGTTTGTTTCCAGGATGCCCTTTAACCTTCTGTCCCATCCTCCCTGCCTTTGTAACAGAACGCTTTACTTTGCATCATAGTAGGCTCCAAACCACTATGCATTAAAAGGAAAAAGAAAATAAAAAGAAAGTATTCACTTTCAAGTTTCTTCCTGCATCCCAAACCTGGAATTTGCAAGAACCCATCGGATTAAAACTATTACTGTGGCTTGTCTTGAGAGACCACACTGCTGTCCTGCTATGTTTATAAATCACATTTGGGAGCTCTTTGCAAGCAAAACGGGGAATTAGCTGTAGCTGCAGAAATATACAGGCACGGGGGTAATTTCTTCATGCTCTCTGGTTTCTTCTTTGAGAGAAGGGCCAAGATCTTTTGATCACTCTTTGAATTTCCAAAGCGCCAGCAAAAATGATGGAGCAGAAAAGCTGAGGAAAAATCTCACTGCCCCTTTCCCCGTGCGTTCACATTCACCTATCTCAAGAGAAAGGAACCCCAAACCACTCTGACTTTTAACAGTTCAGAGGGATCAGGACCTAAAAGAATATATTTGTGGATTAAGTGCTACTGAAAGGGAGTATTCTCAACAGATGACTCGGGATAAAATTTAAGTTAATGATGAAGACAGTCGCAAAACATCTGAGTAAAGACCCACACGAGCTCAAAGACTTGCATAAAGTATTTTTCCCCATACCAGTGCTCTGATGTGCTTTTCCCCACGCCAATGCATACTGAGCACTGGTACCTGTGCTCCCATGTTGAAGGAGGGTTTTTTGGTCTGGGTTGGTTTTTTTCCCCCCCAAAGAGCAAAATCAAGAGCGGCACAAACAGCATGAGATCCCTCAGCGTACAAGCTGTGCCCATCTCCCAACCCAAGAAGAGCTGAGAATTCTGCAGAACATTGCTTTTTTTTCTTTTTTTTTTTTTTGCAAGGGGAATGATCTGGCATGGGAGAAACATTTGAACAGTTGGGCAAACACAGAAGTTTAAAGTATTTATTATTTTTTTTCGACTTAACTTTTCCTGGCCCTCTTGGATACGTGAGCAAGAAAAAAAGCAAGAAAAATCCCAGCTCTTCCACCTGCATAACCCTAAAGAGGAGGAGGAAACCCTCTTTTCTCCAATCCGCATTTCACCAGGATGTTTTCTCTTCGGCTCCTCGCCCGGGGTCTGTCTCTAGAGGTCACTGCCTGTCTCCCCGGTTGGAGCATCATCCAGCCCTGGCCTTGGGGACGCGGCAAATCCCTCTGCTCTGCACTCTGACCTTCAGCTTGGCCGCCCTCGCCAAGTTTTGGTTCTTCTCAGCGAGAGGCGGCATGGCTGGCAATGACAAAAGCCTTGTTTTTAGCTGGAAATTGGCTACAATAATAGCAGCCAGAGAGCAAGGATTTTCGGAGGGTCACCAAAACCCTCCAAAAGGCACAAGCTCGCCAAGGCTCAGGTTACAGCTCGAGTGACATTTTCCGCACAGATCTGGTCTTTCTCCTTTCCCCTTGTATTTCATTTCTGTCGAGTGAATAAAACAAGACCTTCCTCTGCTGTCACGGATTTCCAAAGTCACCTTTTGCTCGAGAATCGACAGAGCGATTGCGGGGGACTTCCAATTTGCAGTCTTGGAATGAAATTTTCCAGGACCGGCTGTCTGAAAGGAGATGCTGAGACTTGGCGGCGTATTGAATTATTTCTCTCCCCTTGGCCCTCCCGAATGAGGAGAGTTTCACACTATTACTGACTTTTGATACCCGGAGTCGCAGGCTGCTCCCTCTCAGCATTCTCCCAAAGCGCTGCGTGCCAGAAATTCCCCCCAAAATCTCTCTGCCTCATTTTCTCCTTGAGCTCCTTCTAGCAAACCAGGCGTAAGGAGGCTGAGAAAGCCCACGGTACCTGCCAACCCCAGTGCTAAAACCTCTCTTGCCCCTCTGAAAAAAAAACAACCAACAAAAACCAACCCAGTAGCTCTCTTGACAACAAACAAATCATCTTTTTTTTTTTTTTTTTTAATACAACAGATGCCAAAGTAACCAGAGCCCTTCAAACAGGCGAATAATTCAGTTATAAAACCAGCCGTACTCTTTTCTATATACTGAGATCCTTCATTTATACAGCGGTGAAACAACCACTTCTATTCAGCTCTTAATTCCTCAACGCTTAACAGGTTTATCTCTAATAAAAACAATTTAAATGGAAAGTGTGCTATAAACCGGGATTATTACACTTCAGTAACTGCTTTATTCCTTATTTTAACATATTTTCATTTTTTTTTTTCCCTGTGTATTTGTTTTCCAGGGCTTTTTAAAGGAGTCTGAGAAAAGAAGAAACTCCAGAAATTATTTCACGGAACACTTTCAA